AAAGAAGAGTCGAGCTTTACCGTGTGGAACCGTCCTGTATGTTTCTTCTTCCTTCCTTCCTTCCTCCCTTCCTTCCTTCCTTCCTTCCTTCCCCATGTATCATCCCATCCAGCCATTTCTTCTACGTTTTGCTTCCACAGAACCGTTTTCACATCCGTCTGAACGACTTCTCTTCTCCTACGACGTTCTTGCCCGACACGACCGTTTGCTCCGGTCTGCTCCGGGTTCCCCTCTGCTCCGACCGGTGCCTTCCGCGGGCGGCGTCGAGGTCGAGGAGAAGTACCGGAACCACTTCCGGGAGCATCTGGACGCCGAAGGAAAGCCCGTGGCCTTCGCACGGTTTCTTGCTACGCGAAGAGACGTGCTCGCGAGACGGACAGACGCGATTTCCGGATTTGAGACACGGTTCGCGGTAGGACCGGACACGACGCCGAAGAGAGAGGTAGCTTCTGTGGAGTTCGTGCGTTGTTCGGATGGGAGGGTGAACTTGTTTTCAATGACTTGGAGGATGCTGTGGAGTGGGACAGCAACATCTTGGCAGAGATTGGACAACAGTCTAAGAGGCTCTTGGGGCCGTGGGCTTCCAGTTGCTATGTTGATTGCAATGCTTTTTGCGGCGCAATGATTTGCAGAGGTCCAATCGAACGTTTTGCGGCTCAGTCAAGAAGTAAGGTCGCCTGCAATCGCTCAGGTTCAAGGAATACATGGTCAAGATGCTGGTGGGTTCCTCAGCATTGGTCGTCTTCGCTTGTTTCTGTGCTTCCGAGACCGCCGGGTGACAACGCCAGCCAGGCTTACACACAAAGACTACGGGTAGTAGATGACCTCACATTGGTAGAAGGGTTGCTTGAGACTTCGTTGTGCAGTGATTGTGTTTTAATCCATTAAGTCAGCTCAATTTGTGCTCAAACATGCGCCAAGAACAGCATCGACCCTGATCCTCGAGCACAAGAGATGATGCTGGAGCAGTCGGGAGCCTCGAGCCATCTCGAGGCTTTAGAGCGGCGACTTCGACTGCTGAGGAGCTGTGACGAGGAGCTTTTGGCTGCTCTGCCGTCCATTGGGCCGTGAGTAGCTCGATGAAGAACGGAAAACGCGCCCCCCCGTCATCAGCCCACTGACCCCCCCTAAGTTCCCGTGCAAATCACCGTGCGTGCTGAGGGTCTCAGTATGCTCTTCCCGATTTTTTCTTCCCTCCGCAAGCCGCACCAAGATCACCAGCATTGCTCACGATTTGGATGCGCCCCCCTCAACAAATGAAAGCAGCGGTGAGCGCCCTGCCAATGATTGTTTTTTTCAATAGGGTCTCGCACCTGCCATTTCTGGAGAATCTGGAGGGACCCTGTGACACTCCCCTGGGTCTGCACCGACATTCCCCTTCGGACTCTGTGGCCCGAGTCTACCCTCAGGTGGATTGCGGAAGCAGAGTCCGGGCGTGCCGCCTTCTTTTGCAACTCCATGTCCAGCCAGCCGGGGCGCCCCCGGTTTCGCCGAAAGGATGGTTGGTTGATGTTGTTGGTTGAACATGAGGAGGTCGATCTAATACTTTCTCGTTAAACTATAATCGATGCTGATATCCCAATGATAGAATTTATGTTGCAAATGGACCAATACTAAGTTGGAACACATCAGTATTGTCACACAAAGACACTTGATACGTTTAAGCTTAATAGACTCATCAATGAATGGATGCCACGGTCTGGGGCGTTTGGGAGATGATCACTTAAGATCGTCTTTCTCCAGCAGCTCCATGGTCTTCAGTGGTTTTGAGTCCCCGTTTTTGCACGTGAGTCGACGCTGTGGGCCACCCTGACATGGACCTCCTAGCTGAGCCGTTTTTCTTGGAAATCTGTGGGAGAAGGGGGTGGTGACGGCTAGTGGTTGATAGACCTGCCAACACGGAGGGGTAGACATGACCATGACAACAAGAAGACGAACATACTTATAGGGGTTTCGAGGTCTGGTTCTTGGGAGTTAGTTCTTGGAGACTTTCTGGGGTCATGTTTGCCATGGTTTTGGAACTCAGCCACCCCATCAGACAGCAGTAGGACTCGGTTTAGAGTCCACGCTCTCGGACTCTCACAGGACAGAAGCCCAAAGAGCGTAGCAACCTGCCTTTTTTGATTCCCTTCCACCTTCCACTGATGTTCTATAGTGCAATAGCTGATTTTCACTTCCAGGAGACTTGTCCTTGAGAGCCGCCCCGCAGCTTTTTGGAGCCCATTTGTCGCCGCGGAAACCCGTGGAATCACACGAGAAGGCTGGGTAAGTGCCTTGGGGAGAGAGAAAGTTGCAGGGACAAGCGCTTCATCCGAGGGTGCGACAACACCCCACTAGAATTGGAATTGGACATGGAGAGACGGCTTGGCTCTGTGCATGCGTTGGTTGAGTAAGGCACCCACTGATCCAATACAGGGGAGTTGCCCGTGAACAAGCTCAACACCTGACGCAAAAAATTGGCGTGTCACACGGGTGATTTCCGGGAAAAGGGAAAGTGCCTTCGATTTTAGGGTTTTTTACGTGTAAAATATCTTTCTTGAGAGCATGGAACACCGCCCTGGACATGCTGCACAACCTTCCTCCTGCTTCTCTTCGCAGGACCCGCGAGAGATGGCAGGAGCCTGTTGGGGATGGCAAGCGTTGTGCTAGATCAACATGCTCCCTTTGTGGGTCAATGACACCTGAAGGTTTCTAGATCTAGGGATGCATAACGGGCCCGAAGGCGCGGATTGTAGGCCGAGGACCGCGTGATGATACACCGCACCGAGCAATATCCTCTTTTGAGGTCATCTACGTCCACTTTTGCTGGTCCTTGTAGCTAGACACTGGCATCTTCATGCAGGAAGCACCACCCGGGTGGTCAGTAGTACCTGGGTCCAAGACGGATTTGGCCTCACTACTGAAAGCACATCCAACTCTTCACCACTAGGCGCTCAGCTCGCCACACGTGGCGTCAGACTGGGTGGTCGACTTGGTGGTGTGTTGGGCGACTTGGTCAAGGTTCTTTGACCCAAATCCTTACCTGTTTTGGTGAAAGGGTCTGAACAGCTCTTTCTTGTTTTCTCCTCCCTTCCTCTCCAAATCAATGGATCTACAATTTTGGCTGTTGCTCCGATGGCACACCCTCACCTGCCCGCGCCAGCGCGGTGGTGCAGCAGAGGTTGCCAAGCACTTGCCCCTTAAGGGCCCCACCTTCTGTGCCGCACGAGGGGTGCGCATCCGTCTCTCCAGGATTCGTCGCCTTGCGGCACCCAGCGTTGCTCAGCTGGAAGAGACCTACATGGACCCCCAAAACCACTGGGTTGTAGAGGAGAATAGTCTTCCAATGGTGCATTTTTGAGGTTCCATGTTAATGTTCCCGGGTAAGTACCAGTGGCAGGCTTGGGGAAGAAGGATTTTGGCGCATCCGAGGATTATTTTTTCGCTCGGATCTGGTAAACATGCTCTAAGTCACCAGATCACTCAGTTAAGCCCTTGAATGCCACAAGGTCGTGCTGCGTGATTCCAGATTAGTTGGCTCAAGGAACCATTACCTCATTACCCAGAAACGCGAAGGAAAGGGATGCAAGCAGGTGACCCTGACTAAGAGGACCTGCTGGTGCACTGCTTTGAGATCTCGTGATTCTGCACAGACTCATGTGTACTCGCATATTTCCAATTCTGGCACGCCATCAGTGGCCCTGTCCAAGTCGGGGGCCGTGCATTCTGTCGAAGGGCCAGACTTTTACACCTGACAGGCCAGGCGAAAGCAAGTCATACAAACACAGCAAGGGCCCCGAAACCCCTGCAACTGTGCCATGGGTGTTGCGAAGGCTGGGTCTTGTGTATTCTTGCGTGAGTTTCGGGCAGAGTGCGGGGCGTATTCTGTGGGATTGGAAAGCAGAAGGGCCGTCCTCATTACGTAGATGAGAGACAAATTCAGGCTCCTTCATTAAAATGGATCAGCTGGCACAAGATATTTGGAAACTTATCTCTTCCACACATGCACCGCATCTCTTCCACCAGCCCGCCAACCGATGTTCCCGCAGCCAAAAATGGCCCGCCTGCGGCGAGAGCATCCGCCGCCTCGCCATGAAGCTGGAGGTGATGCTGATGAGCGGCCAAAGCATGGCCCTTGACGTGAAGGAGGATGCCACATGGCGCGGAGGTAGGTAGGGCAGTAGGGCCTTCGTGGCGATGGTGAGATGGATTGGTTGATGGCCCAAATAGGAGACATGTTAGCTAAACTCAAGCTGCTAAACAAAATGCGAAGCGCATGCAATGCGACTCCTTTTGTCGTGGCTGTGTTGCACTTGAGTCAGTACCACAGCCCAGAGGTCTGACAGGGCTTCGCCCGTCATTCCCCCCTTGGGAGTTGCATGTTGCGACCCCAGGACTCTGTACTGGTCTTGAGGTCACCTCAAATGAATTCCGGAAGGAGCTTCCGGCAACCGCTCACTCAGGGCTTTACTGCCACTGCTGCCAGCCTCCAGTTTTCCAGCCTGGCTGCCAGTTCTGTTGGTGCCACTGCTGGTTCCACTCTTGGCCGTATCCGGCGGATCGCCAGTTTCTCCACTGCTCCTCAGCCCAGCTCGATCCCTGCCATTGCTGGTGGCTGTCGTAGCTCTGCTGATTCCATCGCCATTCATCTTGGTTCTGAGGGTGGCTTGGCTCATCAGCTGGAGCAGCCGTTGCACTATCTTGGGGGTTGGTCCTCAAATCAGCGGTGCGCTGGGCTCTTCTCTGCGCCCTCTCGGCCTCCTTTCTCGCAAGATAGCCGGGTTCCAAAGTGGGGGGTCTTGGATGATCCCAAGACCTCGGCATATCAGCTGGTGTGCAACCCTCCATTCGTGCGAGCTGTTGGTGATGCCTGGCCGCCCTTTGCCGCGACTTATGTCGGATCCTCGCCTCTTCTGGCGAGAAACCCATCCGGATGTCGGCTGCGAACTTGCCTGGCTTGGTGGGTGGAGGAGCTTCGTCCGTTCGCAGCTGCAGGGACTTCAGGTACTCGGTGCATCGTTGCCAGGATGAAACCCTCATCTTTGCTTTGACCTCTGCAGGCGCCCTCAGGTATGCTTCCATGCGATCACCAATCTCTTTCAGGAGATCCATATCCTGTTGAAACTCCTCTGGAGTTCGATCGTCCTCCTGATCTCCCCAGTCGACTTCTTCTGAGGAGAAGAAAGGTGTCTCGACCGGAGCGGTCGGGCTTGATCTGGCTGGACCAGCCGGTGGTGGGGTCCCCCCCCGTCATGGCTTGGTCCCTCGTCTCCTCAACCTTTGGCGCCTTGGCGGGGCTTTCCCCGCTGTCTCTTGCAGGCGGCTCTGCCATGGGGGCATCTTCATCCCTAGTGTCTTTGCTGACAGCTCTTTTGGGCCTTGCGTAGCTCCTCGGATCTTTTCCCCTGGACGTCATAGCTTCCCAGGCGGGCGGGAAGACCATCTCGGCAAGGTTGATCCTTGGGGATCCACCGCCCAAGCAGTCTTCCCTGACGGCTGTCGGCAATGGAGTCTCGACTTCTGGGATGGGTGCTAGGGTCTTCCTCTGCTGCCTCAGCTTTTGGTTGTTGTAGTGGAAAAGGAAGCTTTTCACTGCATCCAGTGCTTTCTGGTTGAAGGCATCATTTGCTTCCTTTCGATCCCCTTGGAGACCATCCGTGGTGTTCTCCTCATCCCAGTTCTGGCTGACCTCTGGCCAATCACAACTGGTCGGATCGACCACATCATGCCAGTCATCTTCGGAGTCCGGGTCTACGTTGACCAGCACATAGTCCTGCGAGGGGTCTTCCACCCTGTCCGCATGGTCACCGGGCTCTGGTGTTCCCAACCACAGCGCAGCTGGGCTGGCCCCTTTCCGGGCTCCTTGGTCCACCTCCATGGGGGCCGCCTCGGGCCGGATATCTTGCTTGTTCTGAGTTCCTTCTCCCTGGTAAGTGGGGATTTCTCTCAAACAGCCCGGAGGGTCGGAAGGGCTCTTCTCCTTCTTCGGCATTGGGGGCCCGTAGGTCCTCCCGCATTCCTTTGGTTTGGTATGCTTGAGCGGACCGCTCGAAATGCCTGGGAGTTCCTCCTACACTTTCCTCTGGTGTTCTTGGCTCGCCTGAGGGTGTTGACCCCTTTGCCTTTGGCGGAACAAAGCTTGGTGGCGGCGCCTTCCGACCGATTGCGGTCCCTCTCTCCTCCTGTTTTGGTGGGATGAAGTCCTTGGGCGAAGGAGGTGGTGGCTTCCTCAGACCCGCTGCTCCTCCTCCCTCCTGCTTTGGTGGTAGGAAGTCGCTGGGTGGAGGAGGTGGTGGCTTTCTCAGACCAGCTTTGGGTGGCGTCTTCGCCCTGGGCAATCTCTCATCCCTTGGAGGTGGCATGTAGCCTGGGGGTTTTGGCGGCGCCCATTGGTGGTAGTTGGACGATGGGCGTGGGACCTCCGACATAGGCGAAGGTTTTGGCATGTTCTCTGCTGGGGGGAACCTCGAGGTCGGCTTTGGCGTTGGTCCTTGTGCGGTTGAACTGGCTGGACCAGCTGTAGCTGTTTGCTGTTGTGGTCCCCATCCTGTGGCAGCTGGGCCGGCTGGATCAGCCGTAGGGGCATTCGGTCTCGGAACACTGTAGGATGGTGGGAACCTGGATGCTGGCTTGGGCTGGGTCGGTTGGTGCTCTGCCTGCGGACCCGGTGGTGGAGTAGTGGATCTCGATTCAAAGAAGTCTCGAGCTTCCCGAAAAGACGAGGAAGGCTCCTTCCTAGCCTGTTGTGCATAGCATCCCCGAGCCTGCCCTTCATCCTCGTTATTCCGGGGGTTATAGGCTCTGGTTGCCCCTGGCCTTGCTGGTGCTGCCCGGGCTACTGCTGCTGCCCTCGCCCTGGCTCTGGCGAGTTCTGCCGCTCTCTCCGCTTGCCACTGACGGAACTGCTCGGCCATCAGTGGGTCACTAAGGATATCCCTAGCGGTTGACATCCTCTTGAACTCTTCGGATTTCTCTTCCTGCTCTTCTGTCGGCAAGTGGCTGAGCTTGTCTGGATGGTACGTTCTTGCCTTCATTCGGAACGCCTTGAGCACTTCGGGCGTACTGGCCCCTCGCCTGACTCCGAGGAGTCGATGCAGGTCTAGATCCGGGTTGTGTCTGAAAAAGAGGTGTGATTGCTTCCATGACGTAGCTTCCAGCACGTTCGCAGAAGGACACTCGTCGGTCTGGGGCCCAAGACAAAGATCTCGAGCCTAGAGTCCCACGATTGAGATCAGACCGATCTTGGTGGTTTCCAACGGGTGGGCGATCGGCAGCCTGAGCCTTCTGACTAGGCAAGGTGATGACGTTGCTGCCTATCATGCCTTGGGAGATGCCTATCTGGGCTGTGTGGTCCTCATATAAATATGCATGAACGGCATCAGAGGTCCAGCCCCCGTATCTCTTCAACCTCTCAAGGTCCCCGGTAGATGCGAAGAAAGCCGTGGCCCCCCCTTTGCGGAGTGAATGAGACCCTGCAAGTTCCCCTGGGTATCCCGCAGCCAGTGCTGCCACCTTAATTAGGTGGGCTATCCCCTCTCGGTCGAGACCGGATCGGTCCGCGTACCGAAACAGCGGCTTTTCAAGCTCCGCACCTCTCCAGCGATGAGGTTGTAGTGCTTGCAGTGTAGCCAAAGCCTCGACCGGACACAGATCTCCACCGGATCGGTGGTGTGAACGAGCTTGCCCACGACCGAACTGGTCTGTCTTGGAGGACCTGACTTGGATCACCACTTCATCTGCTACTGTCCCCAAACAGGCTTGACCCCCCTTATAGAAGGCAACATCGGCTGGGCGGATCGCCCGATCTAGCGGGTCTGATCCATCGCCATGCGGCAAGAGTTCACTGGCTCTCAGCATGAACCCCGGAGCCTGGGCCCACATGCTGGTCCTCTGTGGCTATGCACCAGGTGTCTCTCCCCGGTGGACTTCTCAAGGAGGTGTCCTACTGGTTTAGGGAGCCAAGGCTCCCCGGTGGTCACGATATTTGGATCCCGAGTGAAGATAAATTCCGGGGGTTGGAGTAAATTGGTGGCTTGGTTGAAGGGTTTCAAGGGCAGCAACCAGCAGGCGTTGACCTCCCGGATTCGCATCGCCTCGACTTCCCCTTCAACTGGTTTGGCTTCACCCCACCAGCACGCGACCCGTTTCCTCGCTGCGAACGCTCCCAAATGGGTGGTCTGGTAGTGTGCTGTCATGAAGTTCCCCAGCTCGGAGATGAGCTCTTCAGGGAACTGAAGGTGGGAGTCCCCTGGACAGTCAAGCAGGACGCCTCTGGGAGGATTTTTCCTTCTGCCCTGCAAAACTTCGATTAACCGTGAGATCTCAGCTCTTCTTGGATCATGGCTGAGTGAACAGGCTAGCCATTCAGCCTCACCTTCACCGGCGACCGACCCCCCGCCCCGGGCCCATGCGACCTCAAACGAGGCTAACATGGTCGGAGCGACCTTCACTTGTGCTAGGGTCCCCACAAAACTGCCGCTTTGTGCTGGCACCTCGAACGAACGGGGCACCGATGTGCTTGTTGCCAGCTGCGTGGCGAGGTTAGCACTGTCCCCAATTTCCCCTGGTAACCGGAGCGATGGTCGCTGTGCGGAGCGCAGGAGCTCTTCCCAGTTCTCGACCAGGGCAAGCTTCTCCCACCCGGATCGTGCCATGGACTGTTCGACTTGGATCTGATCTTCCCGGGTAAGCCAGTCGTTGAGAGTATTGTGATAGGTTCTTACATAAACTCCTTCTACCGTGAAGCTGAATTCCGCCTCGAGTCTTTGGAGAAGGAGCAGTAGGGCCCTCACATACCTGTTTCTGGCTCGACGGGTTGAGAGCCATGATTTCACATTGGCGTTGTCCGTCACGTACAGGATCATTTCATTCCTCCAGGTGGCCGATTGGGCCGAAGCTAGCACCACGAAAGTCAACAGTTCCAACACGGCTATAATTCCCAGGTTGTCTCCTGATCCTACCACTTCTTCGATGGCCGCTACATACCTCTGGCACGGTTCTGAGTGGTACTTCAGGGCTTTCCAGTCTGCTGCACCCAGTCGATCTAGCGTGGCATCACCGCCGACGAACCTGGTTGACCTTGCCATGCCTGGAAGAGCGAGCCTCTCCCGGATCGGGAGCAGTTTCCCAAAAGCAACCCTAAAACTGGCCCC